CAGAGGCAACAATATGCTAAAATTTCAAAAATTTTAAGCCAAGGTGATGTGTCAATATGCATGGAGAATCAAATGATTCAAAATAGTGTTTAATTAATTAAAAATAAAATATGTATTAAATGGACTTGAAATTTATTCTAAATTATTTTCCTCTATTCATTGAGCAAGAATGTATTTTTATTTTATTTTTATGATTTTTCTACACAAAGTTATGAATTTTCTAAGTTAGAGGTATTTAAATAAATAGGAAAAGGCCCTATTTATCTATTTAAATCGTGTGTGCCACCTCAACCTACGACGGCTTCGAAGCTCCACGCGGCGCACACCCATTTGACACCGCCATCTACCTCAGTGCTGACTCGGCCGGCGATTTATGTTCCGACCGAAGTGTTGTCCGGCTTCCTCCCGACCGTCCATCCGATACACGCGCAATCGGACGACGCTCCGTCATTGTCCCAGATGGCCTAGCCCGAGAATCGTTTATCTTCAAGGCTTGATATCATCTTCTAGCCTTAAGATCTCTCTCATTTCTTAACCAAATTAAGTGAATTTTTTTTAAAACGCTCACCTAGACTAGACGATCACATCCATAAGGTTATGATCCCATGAAATCAACTCAAAATAAATGGAGAGTTCAAATAGGCTCGGGATGAAGAGAAGTTTTATACCTTTGCTATGAGAAGTGAAGCTTCGATCAGAGAGTATTAACATGTTTGTCATGATCCAAAGAGACTAGGGATTGAGTCTATGATCTTGTTGTAAGGCCTAGGTATGATTTCGATCACGACCGGATTTGGGTGTGATTTGGGTGTTGGCCGGATTTGGGTGTTGGCCTAGAGCTATGGTAGAGGCTATGTGAGAGGGGGATTTGATAGGGCTTAAGCTTCTTTCATTGTTGTGAAGGTGTGGGTGAAGTTAATTTGAGTTAATTTGAGTTTGGTGTTGAGTTTGGTGGGCTGTGGAGGTGTATTGGGCTCTGTCCTGATTTCCGACAAGATTTTGAGCTCAAAATTGAACTCCGGCAGTGGAAATTGGTGAGGGAAAAAAGTTTGAATGCACAGAGGGGATCTTAAGAAAGCTCTGTGGTCAGTTTGGAGAGGTCTCTATAAGAAATTTTCAGCACCTCCTCCCATGGCTGTGGGAGGTGCTTTTTATAAAAATGTCTAGGGGTGACTGTCATGGCCAATTAAGGGGTGCATTGTGCTGCTTAGGTGGCGGTTAGAGGATCTCTACAATTTAATTTGGCTGAGCTAGCCTCTAGGTTTGATTTGGGTGAAGTTCCATGGGGCTGGCTCTCAGTTTTGAGCTTCTCTGGAAACTAGGCTAGACGTTCATGGTAGAAGGAGGTGGCTAGGTGCTCAGGGCATCCAAGGAAATCTGTCAAAGCAACTTAATGTGTTTAGGCTTTGTTTTGGAGAAAATATCTAAGCTTAAGCAAATATGGCATGAAATCCCTTAATTTAGGAGACCTTTGGTCCATGACTTAGTTTAGGTGGTTTTAAGTGGTTTAGGCTGGTCACTAGGGTCCAACTAATGGTTGTGGAATCATTAATTTGAGGACTTTGGGGTTGTTAGACCATTTTTAGTGCATGGGTTCAATGTGGGTTCAAGTGATCAAAGCTTGGGTTTGGGCTAGGCTATCCATGTTAATTGGCCTAATTTATTGATCAAAATTGTGTAGATGATTTTTATGAAGATTTTTGGTGAAGTTTTGAAGTGATTTTGAGTTCAATTGGTAGGTCAATTTGAGGGATTTTTGAAATTTGGGCAATTTGGGCATGTTGGGTTAGACATGGGTCTATGTTGGGCTAGCCTTGGACTAAGTACAAATTTAATGGTCCACATTATAAAGGGAGATGTTGTGAATATTTTTCATGAAGGGATAGAGTGGAAATTTTGGATTTTGGGGCTAAGGCCACTAAGGCCATCAATTTGGTGAGATTTAGAGACATGGCCAATTTGGGGTAAATTTGGGGCTTTTGGACTTAGTTTGAAATCAAATGAAATTAAGGCCTCACCAAGGCCTCACCAAAGCCAATTGAAGGTTAAGGTTGATGTATGGGGATGTTATGAAAGTATTTCAACAAAAATTGTGGCCAATTGTGCGGACTATGGGTTTAATTTAGTGGAACCATGTCATAGGGCCAAAATTGGATTTTTGGTTTGGCTCAAAATTGGGTTCAAATCATGAACCAATTGAGCTTGGATTTGGTCTATATTGGTCATATCAAGGGTTAATTTGAGTTTATAATTGAAATTGGGGTAAATTGAGACCAATTGGATAGACATTTGGGGTAATTTGGGGAAAATATGGGCCTTTAAAGGGTAATTTGGGGGTTTTGGTCAAAGATGGTAAATTTGGCCAAATTATAGTTGAGAAAAATGAAATTGGGAATATTTGGGAGGTTTTAGGAATTTTTGGGATTTTTTTGGAATTTTTGAAATTTTGGGGTAAAGAAGGGTATCTTGGTAATTTGGCCAATTTTGGTGATTTTGGGTAGCTTGGGTGTTCTTAAGGTGTTTGAAATGATTTTTGAATCAACTTGGGTATTTTGGGTAAACTTGAGAATTTTGGCCAAATTTGGGGTCTCAAGGGTATCTAGGTAATTTGGGGAATTTAGGGGCAAAAGGATAGGTTGGGTATATTTGTAGAGTTGGAGTGCCAACCATCATCAATAAGCTATGGACTAATGGAAACCCCATTTTGGGTCCTCTATGTAGTGGTCTTAGCTAAACCCTAGCCTAGGGCCAGTGGGTTTAGGGGACCACCTACATGAGTCTCCCAAAAGTATCAAGGGACCAAAGCATAGAAGTTTAAGTTCAGGATTGTGAGTGATTGTGAGTGCAAATATGTACCTTAAGCCCTAGACGAACACCCAGGGTCAACCCTAAGGTCCAACAGTCCTAAGGGTAACTCCTCTTGAGTTCCCTCATAGTGACCCTACGTACTAAGTGCTAGAGGTTATGACCAATATGTGAGACTTCAAGTTGAGTAGAGAAGAGTTTGAGTTTCTAATGGTGAGAGTTCCTTTTCTAGTTGTCTAAGAATAATCAATAGGAAAGTCCTATGGCTAGACCTTAGGCTACTAAAGAGGAAAAACTAAACCTCAACTAAAAGTGAGGTCAACAATTTTGCATGGTCGTTACTAGCGGGTCGTAAGAGGATTGCCTTGATGTAGAGGATGACTCTCAAGATTAGCTAATAGAAGACGCCCCGCCAGAATTTGAGGAAAAAATAGATCAATTATTGATAAATTGAAGGAAATTAACCTCGGGACTGAGGAGCTGCCCCGACCTACATTTATAAGTTCCATACTCAACGAGGAAGAATATATAAAGCTAATCGAGTTACTGTCAGAATTCAAAGATTGCTTCGCCTAGAGCTATGATAAAATGCTAGGATTATCCCCATAATCACAGTGTATAGGCTAGGGTGGACAAGGATATGACCCCAATAAAGCAAGCTCTTAGAAGAATGCACCTTGAGATAGAGAAACAAGTCTTTGTCGAGGTGAAGACATTGATAGATGCTAACTTTGTGCGAGAAGAGAAATACCCCCACATGATTAGCCAACAATGGCAAATCCGTGTTTGTGTCAACTTCAGGGATTTGAATAAAGAATTTCCAAAAGATGAATTTTCGTTACCGATACCAGAAATTATGAGATCTAAACTCTTCTTATAAAAATAAATAACAATTAGTTTAAAAATTACAAGAGGGTTGCATGTTTATTGGTGTAAGTGTTAAGGATGTGGTCATGTCACTGTAATAAGTCTTACTAATGTCTGTATATCTAAGATAATGAATCAGATCTATACTCTTCTTATAATAAACATGACTCACAACACCAAGTGCCCCTAACAATTTTAGATGCATATTAGCATTGGTTAAGGTAATATAAGTTGGAAATGTACCCCAATTTTAAACCTTTCATAAGAAAAGAGAAATGATATATACCATAGTGATATAAATTTGTAGTTTTTTAAAAGCAATATCTATAGATATTGCGTCCCATTTCAATTAAGTATCGATGGATCACACCATCCCTTATATTAATGGTTTAATGACACCCCGTTTACTATCAGAAAATTGTATTTAGTACATTTCAAAATTATTCTTTATTTATATAATGTTCTATTTGATGTTCTACTTATGTAGGCAAGATGTTTGATTTTTAGAATATTCTATTGATTTCATAAGAGTGTCTTATTTACTTGAATGGGCCAACACCTTCTTGTTCAACTACAAGGGAAAAAATATTAACACTAGTGCTAATAACAATATAAATAAATAGAAAAATTGTCCCTTAGTTAATATTATAAGGAGAAATAAAAAGTGAATTTATAATGGATTTGTCGGATTGTTAGAAGCCATCCTTGTATCTAAACCTAATATACTAAATAACAAATTTCATTCTTAATTGAGTCTATTTTTGTATAAATTAAGGATGAAGTTTTTGAGAATCAACTAAATAACTTAACACTTATACATTAAATTTAACATGTAGTACATTTAGTCCTAAGTTCCACTCTATCAAACTTCCCTCATTACAGGATGAGCACGAATATACAACATAAGTTAGCTAAATACGTTCAAAAGTTTATAGACAACTTATTTATTTTGTAAAGTGTTAGTCCATATGCTTTTCCTATACTTTTTTGTTCAAGAAAAGGATGACACTTATTCCTAACTTAGGGGACTATTTAGTTGCTAATATTAAGATGTGTGCTCTTGCTACTAACGATATGTGTTTTTAAGGTTTAAAAATCTCTAAGGATCTGGTATAAGCTAATCCTTTAAAAAAGTGTGAACTTTTTACGGAATGCCTCTTCCATAATCAATGCATGATACCAGTAGACTCAAGTGGTTACATTTATAGGAGGCTTACCAAAGGATTTAATTTTATAATTGCACCCCTTATGAATTGCCATGAAAAATGGAGCTTTTAGGGAACTCCTATAGTGGCTTAGGATTTTAATTATTTTAAGAAAAGTGGGGCCGCTCAATTCTTATTTGTATAAAACACCATAAAAAGCATATATAATCTCTACAAAATGATTATCATCCTTAGCATTATAGGAACTAGCCTAGTTTCCATTTTGTTGCACTCAATTCCTCTCCTTTTCATCATTGTATGTGGTGAGAAGCGGCGTTCGAATCGGCGACCTCAGTGGCATGGCCAACTTGCTCCCTTTGCTGTCGTAGTAGATGGCCCCGGAGAACTCCAGCGGCTGACATTTTTCTCCCATTAATATTGTCTTCTTCCACATCTCCTCTTCCTCTTGTTCCTCATTCTCCTCCTCCATCGTCCTCATTGAATGCCTCGAGAATCCTTTTCTCAAGGTACAGCCAGTAGTTAACCTTCTAATTCCATTAGAAACAAATGGAATAACGTATCGACCAGAGGAAAACCGCGAATCAAGTTTGCGGCCAACGGCCGCCGATCTCACCCGCCGTGTTGCGCTTGACAAGTGCCGCTGACACGTGGCCAAGAGCTCGGCAGCCCTTTCAATTAGTCCGTTGGCAACCATTAAGGATGTACTGCAGAAGGGAATAAGAAAAATGGTTTGTCTCCTGATGAAGCTAACTCGGGTATTTATAACGAAAAATAGCAGAAAAACGGGATGGTCGCGTAGGAATTATTGTAGTGCCAAGGTGTTGACGGACTGGATCGCCATGGGATCGGATCAATGAAGTCGATGGTGCAGGTTCTACGGTGATTATGCATGAATATATTTAGTAATTTAATTTCGTCAGCTGTATCGTATTGGTAAGGGGAAGGTGACCAGTTTTTTGCGGCCGTGGCGCATGGCTTACCACAAAGAAAGAAAAGCCTTGCCGCGTGGCAGATATTTATTTGGATACATTCGCATTAAAAGGCTTCATTCATAAAGTTGTTTCATTATTCCACTAGGCTCGTTCAACGCTATTGTCAGATGACAATTTCGTACATTTATTTTACATTTGTGAGATTAATTAACTCTATTTTGTAATTGGGTTAAACTTCTAGCACAGCTACTTATATATATAAGCAAAGTGTATATTAAGGTAAAAGTTTAAGGCAGAAAGGAGCTAGTGACCAACTCTAACAAGAGGATGGTTCACCATGTCCCATATTAAAAGTAAATCAAGATTGTAATCATTAGAGTTACATAAATTACAACTAGAACGAGTTGCCTGTTTAGCCAGATAATCAGCAAGTCTATTAGCTTTTCTATAAGAGTGAGACCATCTTAGATTGAAAAGGGCGTTGAGGAGTTGAATTTTCTTTTAGAGGATCAAATTCTGCCAAGAGCAAGTAGAGATGCCAACACAACATTGGAAGGTAAGGCATCCGCCTCAATATGCAGGTTACAGAACATTAGATATCTAGTAATAATCAGGCAATTTGATACCACAACCAATTCAGAGTAGGATGCATCAACATAAGAACAAGGAGATGTTAAGTAGCATAACCAAGTTCCTTTGTTGTTTTTGAAATCAACGCTTGTGCCAGCCTTAGAGAGTTTAAAGCTCCCATCCACGTTGGCTTTGATGTAAGGAGAGTCTGAAGGTTTCCAATAAACAAGCCTAGTGAATTTATTACCATTATGGGCTCAGAGATAGAGAGGTTATTAGAATTGTCCATTGAAACAGCTTTGGACATGAAAGATTTGATATTTAGCATAACCTGGCCTTTAGTTTGAACCTTCCTAAAATTCTTCCTTAGATTTCTTTCAATTGAGATAAACAAAGAGAAAGCGTAAGATATAACATTCCTGATATGTTTTTGGAGTAATAAGTGCACTAGTTAAGCAAGCATGGGTCCAAAATGGCGTAGCTATTAACAGTACAAAAAATGCTAAGCCTATTAGAAACGACACCACAAATATATGATGAAAAAAAAACATTAGAAAGAACGGCGATTAAGGGATTCTTCATCCTTGCCACAAAGCAGGCAGAAAGATGGCATTTTTAGCCCCTTTAATTTTAAGTAATCATTAAGAGGCAGTAATTTTTTAACCCAACCAGACAGAAGTTGGGATACTTTAAGATATCATCAAAATCATCTTGATAGTAATTTTTTAATTCCCTCAATAGAGACCAATAAAGCCAATAGCTCAGGTTGCCTTCTAATTATGGTCTGGCTGATGCGGCAGCCACAACAATAATATAATTCAGGATATTTAATATTTCTTTAAATCTATATTGCCGCCACTCCTAGCAATTTAATGTATTATTTATCAAATTCAAATATTCACTAGGACGCTAACGCAAGTGTACGTAGTACTCAAGTAATATAGAACTCTAACAGAGTCCTAAGTATCGATGGCACAAAGAAGTTTGGAATTCTTATTTAACTCAAAGAAACTCTAATTAAAGAAACTCTAATTAAAAAAAAAAAAACACTTAGATAGAAATGTAGGTCGAGATTCGTGTTTCAAACTAAGTGAATTATATCTACTACTCTTATATCTAAATGCAAAGTAAATTTTAAGTTCACTAATACTAAGTTTTATGAATAAGAGTTAAAAGTTTAAATAGTATTCTTCCCCTCGCAATGAGATTTATAATCAGTGAATAATTTAAATGAGTTTTAAATCATATTGCGCTAAATAGGAAAATACATTTCCCTTACCCTCTTACAAGTACATAAAGAACATTGACTAATCTAGAGTAAGTTCCTAAATCCTTGTTTGGGCTGAGAAGATACTGGCTCTCACTATAGAAATCCCACTATTTCTCCACCTGGAGGCTAACTCAAAAATCATCATTTTATTCCCATCAAAACTTATTTCCTTATTTATTTTCACTTAACCACATGAACTACATTCTCATTCAAGAGATTGAATGGATTCTTACTTCGTTGAGAAAAGTATAGTCATTTCTGATCATTATGTTTCACAACAAATTTTAACTTAAGAATTGGCCAAATTGATTAACTAAATGATGTTCGAAGTTTGAATCATCATAATTATGAAACTAAAAAGCTTCTAAACAATTTCAATTCTTCACATGATTGTTTCTCATTACAGAGACAATGACAAAGCAAACAACTTAGATCTCTTGAGGAAGAAACAAGAAAAATTGGATTTATATATAAAAGTAAGTTTACACAACAAGAACAAGTAAAAAAATTAAAGTATGAAATACTTATCTTAAATTACTCCTTAAGCAAATCCTTTGAATTACCTTTGAATCACTTTCTCTCCTTACAATATCACTCAATTATCTCCTAGAAATGTAGTGAAGAAGATATCTTTCACTTCTCCTCTCCTCATACAACTCTAAGAGGCAATCTTCTCTTTCACTCTTCTTCACTAACCCTCCTCTTCTCCTCCTTTGTGCTGCCCTTTTCTGTAATAAAATCATTATTAAATAGCATAGGGCCGAATTCGCAAGAGTCACCTATGGTACCTTTTCAAAAGTCATCCTAATTCAATGAATTTAAGGGAGAAACCATTTTTGGCATCTAATTGTTGTGCCTAGGTGCCATCTTCTCGGTATAGTAGCACTTAGGCGCCAGATCCTAGTGCCTAGGTGCCAGGTCAACTTTCACAATGTTCCTCCTTTTAACTTGAAATTCTTTCCTTTCTACTTCTTTTAGCTCCAATTGCCCCAACTTAGTGTACCTGCAACAAAAACATAGAAATACCTTCCATTAAAATGCAATATCACTAAAAATAGACATTAAATGCATATATAAAAGTAGCATATTTAGACATGTTAAAATCTCTCAAACTTAACTGTTACTTGTCCTGGCTCCTTACGCGTTAATAATTAAAAAGGTAAAAATTAAGGGGGTGGGATAGTGGATCCCCGTCTAAAAAATAAAATACATGAGATCCTAGGGGTTCCAATATCCATAGTACAACTCCACACAAAACAGAAAAAACACATGTATAAATCCAAAAAAGAATATACCAACAGAAGAAGTATACCCAAAATTACATGTATAACAAAAATTGTGAACATATTTAAAACTAAAAAAGCAAAGGGCAAAAAGCATCCAACAAGATCTGCCAATCCAAGCTCTATAAACATCCAAGCATCCCAACAGATCAACATCCAAAAAATCATAAGCAAGCATATCAGGCAGTGAGCAAAGATGCACCAAGACTCAGTCTAAGCAAGGAGCAGTGTCATTGCAAGCTCCTGAGAAAAGTAAGTTAACTCCCTTCCAAATAAGAATAAAATAATTGTAAAGAGAAAGAGTAAAGTTATGCCAAATGATACAGTGGGCATAAGGGGAGGCCATCTAAACCAAAAAAATTTCAGTGCGGACTCCTAACATAGCTCTACGTGCGGCAAAAGTTATTTCTGAGTTATTTTCAGGTTATTTCTTGGTTATTTTCAATAATATCGAAATAACCCAGAAATAACCCAAAAATAAAGGTCGCGGGGTTATTTTTGGGTTATTTCGGTATTATTGAAAATAACCCAGAAATAACCTGAAAATAACTCAAGAATAACCTACGCCGCACGTAGAGCTGCATCAGAAGTCCAGACAGAAAAAATGCTCCATCCAAACACCAGAGAAGCCATGAGCCCAATTAGTTATATACACCCTAAACAAGTTTCCTGAAGTGGCATCATGCTAGCATAAGAGAAAACCATAAAAATATGATACCAGCAAACTGATCCAACATTGAAGACCTTTCACCAACCAAAGTAGAGAGAGCATTAAATAACTATAACCCAACCCCCAAAGCAGCAACAACAAAAAAATATCAATTAACTTATAGGAAACCACAACAGAAATACTATACTTTCGCAAAAATTTGTCCCAAGCATATAATTTCAGAATCAGAAGATTCATCAACCAAAACCCATGCCAACAGCCTACCAGCAGGCTCCCATACTGGCAAGAAACAACCCAACATCAAAACAAGTAATGAAGTCCCATGTAAAAACCAAGTTACCCCACATACATTGCTCAGGCCAAAAGATGAAACCACTGCCAATACATTTTTCAGCGCAAGAGTGCTTCCAAGATAAGCAAAATTATTGTTTTCCTTATTAGAAAGCTGAAAGTAATAAAAATAGTAAACATCAAGTGTGCCAACCCAACACCAAAACCCTTCCATCCATCCATCAACAACTTTCATCCAATCCAAGGAAAAAAACAAAGAGAAAGCCTTAGCTTTCATCCAAACCGAGCCAGAAATCCAAAAAATCCAGAGACAATCCCAATAATCAAGAAACAAGATAGCAAAAGGAGGCATCATATTATACACGAACATAAGGCTCAGCCATATCACTTTTAATCAGCTTAGCCAACAAAGGAGGAGGAGAAATACCAATAATAGTTCCTTGCACCCTCCATTTTGCAAGCCAATCCGTGTAAAACAAAAGTTTGATAGCCAAGTAAAACAAAAGTAGAGCCCCATACGATGCTACACCTCTTTAGAAAAATTGCATTCAAAAAACAAGTGATGGAAAGATTCAGCCTCACTTTTACAGTTGCAACAGAAGGAGGTAAGTTTTAACCCTTTCATTTTAAGTATATCATGAAGTGGGAGCAACTTATGAGAATACCTCCAAAGGAAAAAGGTGATAGAAGGAGATAAC